GTGTATGATCAAATACCACGCAAATCACGCATTTCTATGATCAAATATCACGCATTTAGTTGAAATTTTAAAAATCGTTTTTTTGCGAAAAAAGCGAACGCATTCCGTTCGGTCTTTGCACGCGGTTGCCGTTTATGTCACGCATTTAGTACAAAATATGTGTATAAATCACGCATTTGTTTCGAAAATATTCACACCTACCCCACCCACATGGAAAAGAGGTTTGACAAAGATTAAGGTTACCCGTAAACGATAATCCCATTGCGTGGAGTAGGACATTTTCACCAGTATTGATACAAATGTATTCACTTGTTTAGAAATACATGTACCTAGTTGTTTGGAATTAGGTCATTCCACAGGTATGAAGCTTATCCTAATATGTAGATCTCAGGCATGGTTCGGAGCTCATTGTAATATAGTACATGTATGGAGCTCATCCTTATTTGTCAGAGGTTATGTAGTTAATCCTGAATTGTCACGGTTATACAGGGTGACCCCAAAAAAATGCAACCCTCCATTTCTTCAATATTTTTCTTGAATGGAGATAAATTACTCCGAGATTTGGCACACAAGGACTTCATTCAATGTGGGATCCTCTGGCAAAGTTTTAATAATCATAGTCTTATATTGATAGAGTTATGGTTGTTTCAAAATATGCTCCAGATGTCGTCAATTTCGCTGAAAACAAACTTGCAGTGTTCAAGGAAAACTGTTCATAACACGAATGCATTCTTCCCTATGGGTATGGCTCAAAAATTTTCAGCCATTGCTTATTGGAGTTCTGCAATTGCGGTAGGGTTGTTTTCATACACATTATCCTTTAAATAACCCCATATATAGAAGTCAGGGGCATTGAGATCAAGACTGTGGAATGACCATGGGTTCTCCGTCCTCGGAGAGATCATCTTCTCATAGAAATGACTAGTGAGCCAGGCTATGCTATCATTAGAAGTGTGAGGAGAAGCTCCATCCTTCTAGAACCACTGTTCTTGTCTATTGAAGCCCCTATGACACTCTAGAACTGCCTAGAACTTCCTGGGAACGCAAATATTGCGCTGTGTGTTAACAGTAACAGTGTTGGCATTATCAACCTCAAACCAAAAGGGGCTGATGATTTCATGTTTGGAAATTGGCAGCCCAAGCTGTGCATTTAACATAATGAAGGGGCCTTTGAAGCACTCCATCTGGAATTTGTGATCCCAGAACACATTATTTCTTGAGTTTACATGTTCAGAAAGAAGGGAATGTGATTCATCTGAAAACCTAACATTGGAAATGGACGACATTTGGAGCATATTTTGGAACGACCATAGCTCTATCAATATAATATATGATTATTGAACCTTTGCCAGAGGATCTCACATTGAATAAAGTCCTTGTGTGCCAAATTTCAGAGCAATTAACCTCCATTTCAGAAAAATATTGAAGAAATGGAGGGTTGCATTTTTTGGGTCACCCTGTACAGTACATCCTAATATGTCTGAAAAATGAATATTATCACCAATACGTTCATATAGAGGATAGCATCTCATACATTATCAACTGCAGTATGTGATGTTACATACATGGGTAATGTTCTTTCAGTTCCAGTATTGACACAGTGCAAGATGAGCAATCTACAGAAGAGGTATATAACCACATTGGTAATAGACGGGATGAGGAGGTCATTGAGCTGACATATCGTGGCCCTGTTGAAGAAGGTAATATTAGTTGTTTGCTTCACACAAGCAAACAGGTAATTAGTAATTTTATTAACATTCACTGAAAAAAAGCTGTTGATTGCATTTATTATCTTCTCCATAAAGATCTCTCAAATGGGGTTTTGCATTTTGATGTTAGAAATATCATAAAAAATAGTATGTACTTGTAATTTTCACATTGAGCAAGTATATAGAGGATAAAATCACAACGGTACAGCTGTGCTTACAAATAATTGTATCTAAACTATCATAATTGAGGTGTCAGTGTCAGTAGGTTTGAATGATTGATATGTTCTAAGGCCAATTGAGCATGGCAATGTCATCCATGTCCATCCATCCAGGCAAAATACCATTAGAGTGATATTGCTCACATTTTATACACCTATGCTTTTACTGAATAGATATCTGGAAATCTGATTTACCCAGAACCCAATGTTTCCCATTAGTTTACATGGGAATGACAATTTTCAAAAAATCATCACATTTGTCATCAATTTCCGACCTATTGTATTTTTGTTGAAAACAATTGATAAAAATTGGAGGTATTCGAAATGATGTCAGTTTATATTTCCAGCCCTAAAATTAGTTTTTTATTTATAGACTGTGCAAATAAAAATGCAAACATGTATGAGCTTTAGCACGTAATCCAATTTGGAAGTAAGGGTTGCCAAACTTATGGAGGGGAGTCCTGGGAAGGGAATATACTGCTATGTTCTTAGAATATGAATTTCTTCGTTCATTAATGACCAAATGTTGATATAGGTAGGGAAGAGGAGGGAAAACCCCATGATTCAATTGATGACATACGATTCCCCCCTTCGCACCTCCTTTCCCGGAAGTATGTATACCCTCCATCTTGGTTTTCAAAGTTCTCAAATTGACCTAGTTTTAAACCAATTATAACTAATTGTGTTGATAATTTATAATTAGTTTTGGATATATTGGAGTCAGTATATCCTTCTGTCTCATCGTCTGACTTATGCTCATATAAAATATGCTCATATCAATGTTTGAAACTTAAAACTGAAATTGTGTCCCTTAATTTATTCACAATAGTTTGGACATTTATAACGTTATTATTTATCTAAATCGTCAAACACAGCAAACATAAATAGGCTCTGAGAGGTGATCAAAATAGTGGACTTCCGGTCGCCAAAATATTGAGGGGAGCAAATAATTTATGCTAACTCGATGGCCGATGGTGCAGTAGAAAAACTAATTTATTCTGCAACGAATACGTAATTGTAATTACTACAGAATAAATTAAAAGCCCTATTGTCATGTGTTTTGAACTGTTTTGTCGAACTCCAATGCATTCTGAGTAAAAGTTTTGTTGATAATAGTTTACCACACGTGTTGTTTATTAGTTAATACGCGCAATTCAACCAATGAAATTGTTTAAATTTTACAATCACGCGACCCGAGCATGGGACTAGAACCAATCACGTCAGTTGTTTATTACGAAGTTACCATGCTTACGGTGAGATACCTGCCCGCCGCAGTGATATATCACTGCACGGGAGTTCGCTGTTTTGTGATATGTGTATATAAAGATGATTTTCCAGAACTATAATTTGATATGGAGGGGTTTTTCTCATAACGATACGATGTATTTCGATTGGTATTACAGAAAAACTGCCCGACCGATATTTCTAGAAGGCGTAGATCTCTCCACAAGCGAGAAGCGACGTATTCCGTTGAGACGGTCTTGAAGTTTGTGGCAGATATATCAGCCAATGGTGCAACAGGAGCGAATGGTCAGAATGACGGAAATGGTATGCAGATACGTTCAATTTTATGAAAATGTGGGGCGATACTCTCCATCATTCCTTTACTGTATTATGCAATATTTTGTTCTTGATCATGCTTGAAAGCGATTATCTTAAACTTTCGAAATTCCAATGTCCATTTCAAATAAGCCATGACTACGGAAATTACCGAAAACAATACAACATCGGCCATTAAATAAAACATAATAACGAAACGTTTAATTTATGTTTTAGGTTCGGCTCCTGGTAGTCCACAGATTATGTTCATTGTACTCGGTACAGTCGGGGCATTATGTGCACTTTGTGTAGCAGTCGGTGTTATTGTAATATTGAAGTTCCACTCTGCAAGGGCCCAAGATCAAAAACCTTGAACTTGATACCTTTATCCCTGCTGCGATCACCAGTGAGGGTAACGGAGCGCACGCTTATGTAAAATCAAAAAGTACACTTTTCATGCCTGTGTTCAAAACTCAATATTCAATCATGTTTATAATGATCACGACGTGATCTTAACGTCATCTGAAATAAATGAGTCTGGCGTTATGTACATGTTAGAATTAAGAAAAAGTCAAGTCCTGTGGTTGAATGAAAGTCATACACGGCCTGAAATCCACGGGGTAAACTAAATTATTAAAATGTCGCCATACGACAAATGTACGATTGTAAACTTGGTTCATTATTTGATTAAATTTTATATAAGAGCGAATTAGCTCATTCAATCCAGTTACGAATTGAAGGGATTCATCAGCATTTCGAAATCAGGGGAAACTAGTGTGAAAACTAATGTCATAATGACATATATTCTGTTTATTCATACAAATAACATATAAACCATGTGTTGACAAGGTTTGTTACAATATGTACAAACGGTGAGTGGAAACCCTTTTATATTTAACTTGTTATTATATTTTGTAGAATAAAATGATTGATGTTAATATATATTCGTTTTAAACAATAGTTATTCGTGGTCTTCTATATGTAGTCAAGATCTAGCAATAGGCTAAGTAGCAGAAGTTGGGCATATGAGGCTAGGCAAAGAATGAGTCATGATGTCACAATAATGGTTCTTTGATTTAAATGGAAACATGTCTGCATTGATATCTCACATTAATTTTGCTGATGCTGTTGCCTGCCTAATTAACGATACAAACGGATTCCGAACACCAACAACCGAACACTGTTTACACAAGTAGGAGGCTTTAACAATATGTCACCACTTTTGTTGACTTAAAAACGAAATAAAGATTAATTTGTGACAAAAAAACTAACTAAACAAAATGAGATGCAACATGATTTTATTTCGTATACCCCAATTTTAACATTTTTGAAAATCGATGTCATAACTTAAAATTTTAGAAAATCAACTGTTCAAAACTCCTTAAATTAAATCCATATTAAACAGGAAACATTTTGTAATGCACGTAAGCTTTCCTTTTGATGAAATCAATACTGTCATCATATACATAGTACATTGAAGACAGTTTCCTCAAAAAGGAACAGCTACATTATTGTTTGATTATTACTGTCCACATTATTCTATTTCGAACATCTGGAGAATAGAGCTGAATTTGTTCAAATATTCTTCATCAATTCTCAGGCAGCCATCTCTGCTGTCGTGCACAGGGATCGTGATGTTGCCAAACGTTACTTGGCCAGAATCGGAGCCGTCATCATTAAAAATAGCTTCGTTACCAATCCATCCTAGAAAATTCATGTCGATGTAAATCAAAATAGAAATAATGAAGAATCAATAAATGATGTCATGAACACTTAAGCCAGCTGTGTCACATTTGCTCTACGGCGGTCGTAGCTTCAGAAAATCGATATTGTAAATCGACATCGTCCTGATCCTTTTAAATTGTACATATTTCTTTCGATTTTGGAAAACCATGGTCATCGTACGATTGCCGTAGATTGTAGATGAAAAGTGACTGGGGAATCATTGGAGTCTATCCTAAATAATTTGAAATAAAGGTCTTTGTAGTCATTAAAGGGTTATCCACGACGGACGATCAATGACTTCATTTGAACATACCCATTATTCCACCGGCGTCTCTTGATAGACCCGTCTTTTCTGTAACACCAAAGTTAAGAAATGGCGAGCTCTTCGCACGTCCTTTACGTGTGACTACGAGTGTCGTCGTCGCATTATTGAAGGAAATTTGTATTTGCTTTCTTTTGACTGTCATCCATGCATCATCAAGTTCAACAATTTGTTCTTTCCAGCTGTAATTAGTTTGTTCTTCAGATGTTTCTACAACCACTTTATCAGGAGAAATCGACACTAAGACACCCTTTCTGGCCACAGCAATATTACCGACGTATTCAACGAGGAAACCATTTTCAACGGCCTCATCTTCTACGAAAGTAGATTTGATATCTGAAATAAGTCGAAATGAGATTACATTTTAACTATATTATATGGTTATGCTGATCAAAAATCCAAAAGCCCAATATCCATCGTTGACCTCCAAAATAGTTATAAGAAAGTTGTAGTCGGAGCACTAATGTTGCACTAAAACAGAACAGTATATATAAAAGTTAAAAACTTAATGTTATTATCACACGCATGTGGTTGCCAACGCTGTGTTGCATAACTCGACAAAACCAACAAGTTCGTTCAATAAATTTATTTATATAATTAATCAAGTCATTACATAATATAACATACTATATATATAATATTATATAATATTATGCAAGTCTTGGAATAATAGTTCACGCTTATCATGCTTATTATTTTTTCCAGACTGTGTCATGGTTCAAAAAGATAACTAGACTTTTACACGGAGGCTCTCGTGGCATTTTGGATAATATGATGGTCAACTAAACGTCAAATGTCAAATCTGATCAGAGGACTGAGGTCTGATGCCTGAGAACTAGATGATTTAAAAAAAAAGTTGGGTCAATTTAAAGCAACTTTCAATTTAACCTTTAAAAATTTCAAATATTGACCTTTTCCAGTTTTAAACTCTTATATCTCAAAAATGGGACACAATTTAAATAGATAGTCAATTGCTAATATGTGTAGAACCCTTAGAGAAACAGATATACTGACTTTCAAACAAAAATATTGATTTGTTGTATCGAGAAACTTTGATAGTACAGTTTGTGACTTAATTTGATGACCTTGACCTTTGACCTTGAACATTTTACTTTAACACCTCAGTATAGGTATTTTCTAATTAGGCTGCCCTAAATTTGAATCCAAAAACTCAATTTGAAAAATCAACTTTTCTGATCTTTGAAGGTGAACTAAAAAATCAAATCTAAGGTCAGAAGTGAACTCTTGAGAACGTGTAGATGCTTTAAAAAAACGTGGGTCAATTTGAAGCAAGTTAAAATTTGACCTTGAAAAATTTGAAAAACTGACTCTTTAGGTTTGAGCTCTTATATTCCAGAAATGGGACAACTTTTTAATAGATAGTCAATTGCTTATATTTGAAGAACCCTTGGAGGAATATATATACTGACTTTCAAGCAAAAATATTGATTTGTAATATAACTTTGAGAAACTTAGATAGCATAGTTTGTGGCCTGATTTGATGACATTGACATTGCAAATTTTACCTTTTTAGACCTCAGTAGGTCATTTCTAATTAGGCTGGCCTAAATGACCACGTGGGTTATCGCAAACAATTTCAGAAGGTTATATCTTGGATTATGACTATTTTCTGACAATGAAGACAAGTTTATCTTTTAGAATAATTCATTATCTCAAATAAAATTATGCACAGTATTAATAATTCAAACAAACTCGGAGATATTTAACTAGCAATTAACTCATCAACACACTTTTAAAATATGTTGACCCCATTTTCACCAAAAATGCAATCATCTTTTACAATGTTTAATGCATTACTATTCTTTATTTTGATGTATCAAATAGTTCTTGAAACAACTTAATTGCATTAAGATAAGTGTTCCCCATGTTATTTCTCCATTGAAAAATCTCATGCTATCCATCAATTTCAGTTCATTTTGGCCATCCAAATTTAATATCTTTAAAGTCCCTGGAGCAATAAAATTTCCTTTTAGGAAATCGAACATGTCTCAAAGCACATTCTAATTATGCATTCAACAATATAATAATAGGTTGCATTTTTGGTGAAAATTAGGTCAACATTTTTGAAAAAGTATGTTGATTGGTCTATTGCCCCTTCAATATCACTTAGGTCTGATTAACTAAATTATCATTATATATATACTTTTCTTGAAGATAATAAATGGATCTAAAATATACACCCATGTTCATGATCAGAAAATATTCATAATTCAAGTTAGAATCGTTTGAAATTGTTTGCGATAACCATGAATCCAAAAACTCAATTTTGAACTTAGAAAATGTTCAACTTTTCTGACCTTTCTTTGAAGGTCAAGTAAATGTCAAATGCCAAATCTGAGGTCAGATTTGGACTCCTGGAAACTTAAAGATGATTAAAAAATAGTTTGGTCAAATTGAAGCAAGATGAAAAAATGACCTATTTGGACTGTTTTTTGACATCAAATATCTCAAAAACGGTAAAAATTTAATGCAGGTATATAGGTACAATTTGTAAAGAATATTTAACTCTAGTTATAGTTTAATTCATCGCATCAAATAATGAAGTATAAGGACAGACTTGAGAAACTTAAACAACCTAGATTTGACCTAGATTTTGAACTTAGACCTTGACATAGATAAAAAATTCCCACCTATCCCAGCCCAGTTTCCTAGTAGGAGCATATAGTAGATAGTAAAAAGCTAATTGGAAGTAGGAGAAAAATGCTTGGAAATAATAATAATAAATAAATAATAAATAAAGAAAAGTTACAAAAGCTATAAGAGGCCCTTTGTTGAGGGCCTCCCAATAATTGTATTATACATGCCATTCTTATTATATGATATTTTAGAAAAAAACGTAGAATCGTGTACACATGTCAAAATCTTTATGGGAAAATGTTCTTTATAATTTGAAAGTTATTTGGCTGTAGTACGTTTTAAAACTTTTGTTAACTCATGAGAGTTATGTACTTTCTTCGAGATCTATTATAACATTTAACTATGGGACGAGAATTACAACATAATAAAGATGCATTATCTTTACAGAATATATAGTATTTTTACCAATATCATGATCTCTAAGGAAGAGGTACTCTGATCCAGGTTTCCCAAAAAAGTCATAGCAAAGTCGTCTGTGATCGGTACCCTTAATAGTCTGAGAGATATGAGGGTCCCCGCATATCATTATACCCGCTCCGTTTTGTCTACAGTTTGGCTTAGTCGGGTCGGTGCAGTCATTATTAGTTCTACATTGTACACAAGCTGAACAATCATCCTTGCAGACACCGTCATTGCAGTCATCATCTTTGAAGCACTCTAAGCCTTTTAGCTCAAGAACTATTTAATAAATTGAAAGATAAGCATATGTTATGCACAATGAACCTACCATTTCATGGCAACAGATGTTAAAGTTGGAACTGAAAAAAGGTGCGTTTGCAATACAATGACACAGGGGCGTTTAATATGAGCTAGAAAATACTTTACCTCTCGGAAACATGCAATTGTTGATCCACAGCATTTTCTTCCTGTATTCATCTATTCTTTTACTGTCTTCTGGATCATGCAATGGAGGGCGAGCAGGATCATCGAGTAAAGCCAATAATGCAACAGCCGTATTATGAATATCCCATACCCCAGGTGCAGCACCTCTTCCAAATGTACAAGGATCTCCACCATAATCAAAGTTGTCGAATAAAACCACCATGTTTGAGAGTAGATTTGCATTAGCGTTAGAATTGAGAGGACTAGCAAACAAGCTGTTGATTAATCCTTGTTCCGTAAGAGTAAATGTTGAAATTCTATTCAGAATGGTTCTCGCATCATCATGTGTGGCAACAAAACTGGCACTAGCATCAATAAGACCTATATATATTATATATAATAACAATTTTAATTCAAAATAATTGGAAAAACTATCTTACATTTTTTTACAATTATTAATTCCCTATTCTGATTGCCTTTTTTTGACATGATTCTTGCTTTACATTAGTGTTTATAAATTTAATCACGTTGTTTTGTAGTATTTCGTATATCATTTGAATTATTCATTCTCACCATCGGTTATCTAATGAAACCTGTTGAGTTTTCGTGTTTTACTCACCCCCGGCGCAGCCCTCGCAACATCCACGTGAATCCCTTGTTGGTAGACAAACGGGTGACTGTGTAGGGATATATGACTGATGGCAAGACCAGACGAAATCACACTCGATATTGTAGCATACTCCTTAATGTAAATACGGAATTAAAAGCGGGGTAAGACGAAATTAAGTTAAAGTGGTTCTTAATCGAGCGGCCCTTAAACGTCCAAATCATTTAAATTACCAGTCAAGTCCAGTATTTATAGGAAACAAACAAATATATGTATTTATTATATCACTGTCATATTCCTCACTCTCTTATTGGTCCATGTCCTACACGTGACTAACAAATAAGTAGCGATATTCAACGGAAGTCACGTGACTTCCGGTGAATATCAAATGATATTCAACGGTCATGACTTATACATCCCCGGTGTTGACTTAGTCCAGTGTAATTTTCATTTTAAATACCCCATAATAACCCAAATGGCAGACGGTAAACAAAGATTTCCAAATATTTCTGCTGAAGAAATTGATAGAATCCACGGGAATATTCATTCAGATAACACAATAAAAGCAACAAAAAGATCAGTGAAGATCTTTCAAGATTGGATATCTAGCAAAGACGATGTGATTGATTTATAGAAGATGTTATGACAGTGATATAATAAAACAAATATTTAATTCTATTTTCGGTGAATACCTGTGAACCAATTCGAACCAGTTTTATTTAGAGGCACGATCAATTGAGGGAGAACACTTTAATTATAGAAGATGTTATGACAGTGATATAATAAAACAAATATTGAATTCTATTTTCGGTGAATACCTGTGACACTTTCACAAGATGATATTCCACTAGCCCTTCGGGCTTCGTGGAATATCACTTGTGAAAGATGCACAGGTATTCACCTCAATAGAATTAAATATTTGTATAATGTTATAATGAATATTTATCATTTAATATAAATATATACAAACATGTTGTCATCTGGGAACCTCATGAATTGACTGTGACACTTGTGAATGAAAGTTGAATTCTCCTTCAAGGCAAATGAAAATCAGTAGCCCCATAATGTGGATGGTGCTATATTTCAAAGCACCATAATGTGGATGGTGCGGCGTTAGTCTGAAAGCGCCATAATGTGGATGGTGCTTAGGTCTGTAAGCCCCTTAATGTGGATGGTGCTTGGTTCGGAATGCACCATAATGTGAATGGTGCTAGTCTGGGAGCGCCATAATGTGGATGGTGCTCGAGTCTGAAAGCGCCATAATGTGGATGGTGCTTGAGCGATTGCGCCATAATGTGGATGGCACACCTGTTTGAAGCGCCATAATGTGGATGGTGCTCGAACAGTTAGATTCCATAATGTAATGGAATTGACGATTGCCATGAAGGAGATACGAAAAGTATGTGATTGAATAAGAATGCAATGAACATATGAATTTGAACCTTGGGAATGGAACGAACGCAAGTAAGTGACACAGCCAAATCATGGTAGCATGGGTGCTACTATGAGAAACCCCAGTAATAAAGTCAACATTCGAACTTCGTATGTTCATCTATATTTACTAAGAATCGTGCCACAATTGAAGTAAACCTCTGGTTAATTATTTTCAATATACCTATCAGCAAACGTGTAAATGATAATTTAAAGGTTCTGTTACATATTGGTGAAGCAATCTTGGGGATACGGCCTAAATTTCTTAATTTCCACTATGTCCCTGTATACCCCTACTTCAGAAGATGTATGTTATTTGTCATTTCTCACCATGAACCAACCATAAATTATTTTTTTCTTGTTTACATATAAAATTAACTTTCTGCTTCGAATATTGACAGATGGAACTGCATTTATTTTTTTCATTATATGGAGCAAATAAATGTGTGTCGATTTAAACTGTATTATCCTACATACTTATATTTCAAGGGTAGTTTGGAAGAATAATCAAGAAAATCCATGTTTTCAAACGGATTTATCCTTGTCAAAGAACGTAAATAAGAATGCGCAGTTTGAAAAACTAACAACATGTTTCAAGATCTTTCAATTCTTGGTTGAAACAAATATTTTGAAAGTTGTGATTTCGAATGTAATCTCCTACTCGATAAAAATTGTTGATATTTGTGGATTTTTTCTATCGGTATACACATTACTGGATCACAGAACAGTGCCTTGCTCGAGATGCACGAAAAGTGTATTGTTGATACTTGACGTCATTCGGATATTTGGATGTGATAAACGTTTTAAGTAATCTCCGACCACTGTTACTTAATAACTTCATTATTGAAAGCCAAATATGATGGTCACGAATTGATATTTAAGTCACGCGTTGATGCATACATCATATATGTACATTAACTGTCGAATACATGCCGAATATCCTCAGTTGCAATAAAATCATCAAATACTCGAAGCGGTGTATCATATAACCTGGTGGGATTAATGTTTATTCTAATTTACAATTATGATATCGGATTTGAGTATGGTTTTAGTTGAGGCTTGAACAAAGCAATAAAATTGCATGAACCTTTGGTGAAAATTCGAACAATTTTTCAAGAATCCTCCTTCAAAGTGTTACCAAAGTGCATCCTGGGAGTGGAAATTTCGTCTTGTGCATGCGATCGATATTATCTCTTATACCAGATAAGAAGTTTTGTGGGCCGACCCCTTGTGCAACTGATATGAATATATTATTTTGATTGACACTTTCAGAGAAGACGAGCACGCCCTTTCTCTGGGAATACATCTCAGTGTTAAATTGCTGCTTGTGTAGAACACATGTTTTCACACAAGCCCATTGCATTATTTTAGTTTATTATATCTCGATATATATAATTTATCGATACGCAATACATATGGACATTTATATATTATTAATTTAATTACTCATACTGTGGACGATAACAATTTCCACCCATTCCTCACCCCACCTCCACCCACAGTTTTATAGACCCAACTTGTGAATAGAAATATATATTATAATATTATTTACATCCAACACGAATATGTTTTGTCCAAGTCACAACAAGCAGTTCTAGGGAGTATCACAAATGGAGAACTTTTTGAACACACATTTCTCTTAAACCAGTCATAAAAAACTAAAAATGTAAAACATCGTCCATTTAATGGTCATCTTTTGAATGGTAATAATATAATTTGAAAAATAAATATACACTTTCATCTCCTTTGTTTTAGAAAACACATCAAACACTTGTTTTCTTCTTGGTATCATGTTTCCAGAGTGAAATGAAACATCTTTCCGAACCTCATTGGAACAAAACGACATAAACAAAACATGTTTAGGTCGCTCAATATTGCAATTGTACAAAGGAAATTTTGGTTGATTTTAAAAAAGAATCTTGTTGATGAAATAAAAGATTTATCTTGATTTTTATCTATTTTGGGGGGATTTTGTTTTAATTTTTGAAAAATCCTTTGTATAACTATACTATTGAGAGGTCCAAAACATGTTGTATATGCTATTTTGTTCCAACAAGGTTCGGAAAGACATTTTATTTCATTCTCAAGAATTGGTAAAACGGAGCAAAAACAATTGCACTAAGAACAAAGAAATGTTAACAAAAACAGCTATATAAAATATTTCTAAATAATTTTCGCATTAAATTGTTGTCAATTAGTCAACATTACATAAAATACCGTGTTTTTACAGACTGCATTCAGTGATTGGTTTAAGAGATTTTTTTTGTTGAATACAGTTCTCCATATCGATACAAATCCTTTAAAAACATATCCCCTCATTGAGAGGAACATGCAGATTTGGCGATCTATCATGATAAAAGGCTAAATATTGTGAAAAACACGAGTTGACACGTTCAATAATAAAAATTGCCACCAGTAGAGAACAACGTTTACAAAATCATTTAAAATGGAGCTATTTGATGGCCTATTTTCAGATATTTGAGGCTACAACATGCCAATTATTACACTCAAATAGAGTGTTAACTATTTCTTAGATGTTTTAATTTCAATAAACTATCATGACATTACTTGTTTAGTTGACATGAGCATTCCATTTTGGAATAAAGAATTATTTACAACCCCATAGGATGGTATTGTGGGGTGTATCTAGGATGTGAAATTTCATATTTGTCCACTGCATACATTTGTCTACATTTTTGATAAGTTTTTCAACTGGTATCAATATACAATATAAGCCTAATTTAAAAACTGTAGCAATTTTGTTTAATGTTAAACGTCTATTTGCCTAGCCTACAATACGTTTATCAACTACTGATCATAAAATAGTAGCAGTTGTACTTCTAGACAGACTCCAGTTATTAGTTGGGAAACTTATTCGTTTACACCAAACTGCATATAAAAAGTTAATTACATTGGCAATAGTTGCCGCTTAGTAATGTATATACTTTCGATTATTTTAAGAATAACGACAAAGGGCAAGGATTAATTCTATTTTAAGGAACTTCATGTTTGAACCTTTAAAAAAGTTTAATTTCAACAATAACATCATTAGATGGCTTATTTTTTTATATGGAGCTCTAGAGATCATGATGGAATACAGGTAAAGACGGATAATTCATGATTTTTGGCTTAATATATGACCGAGAATTTTATCCTGTTGATTGTTAAATGACCGAAATCGCGCAACAATGGCCAGAATAAAATTTGAGGTCATTTATGTGACATAAATCATAAAATCGAATTTTTTGTTACGATTCTAATATGATAAACAGACAAGAAACACAACCATTTGCATTCATGGATTTTAGCGGCCGTACATACTCCAATAAAGACCAGTAAATCAATTGTTCTAGCTATTGTGACGTCACGTATCATATTATAATTAAGAATTATAGACCAAAGAGCAGGGGTAATACTGTCGAATACACCCTTTAGGACTAGGCACCAACGTTTTCTGTTCGATAGCTTTTGTGCCTAGCCCTATTGGGATGATATCGACAATATTACACCTGCTCCGAGGTTTATATTACGATTCAGTCATGAAAACCCACCAAAATGTTTCGAATATTGATTTTGGTCCGCCATGACTACGACCCGCCGTTAAGACGTCACACGTTACACGTAGTACCAGGGGTATTGTTCACGAATATATCCGGGTGAAATGTTGACTTTGTTTACAGTTTATAGAAGGTGTGAACATAGTCTTGTTCGAATACGCCATGAATCATAAAATCCCGGTATTTATTCCTTAAATAATATATAAGGTTACCTACCGCCTGAACATATTCCGTTAATGCATTGGGAACTCGGGAACCCGACACAAATCTGGGCTGCAGGACCACATGTTCCACCTACCGGAACGGTCGAGCAAGAGGGGTAATTAAAAAACGTAGACAAGGAAACGGACGTATCTAAAATGCAAAGTATATCAATATCCATGCAGTTTAGAAATGATTTCCAAATAATAATATCGCAATAAAAATGATTATTCAATCTATGTAGATACCTCTCTCACAGCCATTTGACGCAGGGACAAACCATGGGCCATTACAGGTACATAAATTAGAGGGACAGCCTGTCACTGCTACAGGATATCCTCTACAGCTAGAAGGTCCTTGTCCCGTGCAGCTCGCTCCTACCGCATTACCTTAAGAAATATATATTTGTACATATACATAAGGGATGGTGTCCAAATATCAACAGTTGTCGATAAACGATATTAGGGTGGGGGGTGGTTAATGACGATGTGTGTGAGAATCGTGTAGACCCTTGCTGCTTGATTTATAACAAAAATATTGACATTTGCACGTCGGTGACGCTGCGCCTTTTTAAATAGTTCTCATATCTTAGAAGCCTATCGGTTCAAAAAAATCCTACAAGATCTAACATATTTCTCATTGTCGTGCGCCTATTTATTTAGCAATTCAATTGTAAACTTTATTTTGAAAGATAACTGTTCCAGATTTGTTGAATTTTCTAGCGAACATCTGCTAATCCCCTCCGTTTATTTCTTCCGATCGCCGGGCGTGTGTATAACCCTTCTTCGAATGATATATATTATTTGTCTATTTTTATCATGAACCACCATGCATGAATGCCATTTTCTTGATTACATTTAAAATGAACTTACTGTTTTTGAATATTGCCAGATGGATTTTTTCTTATTACATACATACTGCTGGATCTTAGGACATTGCCTTGTTCGAAATGAACGAAAAGTGAATTGTTAAAGGCAGAGTCAGATCTAAATAGGGACATTAGGGAGTGAAACATTTACTAGCAATATGTACAATTGATCTACAAATGTATTCCTTACACGCTGAAGCATCATATCACCCAAAAGATCCTCGATATAAGTGCAGTTATTAAGATCCAAAGTGCAAAAATTGGGGAAAAATATTTAAATTCCCCCACATAAAAAGAATGGTAACCATTTTTAAATACAAATGATTGCATTATTGTAAAAATCTTAAGTTTTCCTCAGATAAAGCATATACTTGGGGTATCTTTTAGAAAATAGACATGACAAGAAAGATGTGAGCCCAAAATATTCTAAAATTGAAAGAATTTTTGTCAAGATGAAGCAACAAAGTGATTTTTAGATCCGATTCTTCCTTTAATACTTGATGTCATTCACATATTTTAATGTGATTGACGTTTTCGGTAATCTCCAACCAGTGTAACTTCAATCTCAATTTTCGAAGGCTTAATATGATGGTTAAGACGTGATATTTAAGTCACATCGTTTTATGTTTACATCGTAGTTTTATCTTAACTGGGGAATGATTCATTTTGATTCATAATTATGGTATCGGATTTGTCTATGCTTTAAGATGAGGCTTGTATAAAGCAATAGGAATGCATAAAAATTCGAACGAGTTTTAAAGAATCCCCCTTTAGGGTGTAACAAAAGTGCTTCTCGTGTATAGAGATTTCGTCTTGTGCAATTAAAATAATAGCGGGTAGTTTGATATATTGGATAGAGTTTAAGCTCATATCTCAAATATTAAAAATATGATAATGTCATTGATATGAATACACAGTTTTTTGGCAAACCGTGACGATAAAAGGGCAATGTCTTGAAAAATCACGAGTTGGCACACTGTCATTTGAGATTGTAATCTCAAACACTAGTGTCGACTTATGTTTAAACATCATAAAAACATAGGTCGGACATTAAACAATGACCAAGTTACTGTCTACTTGTCATGGGATCACAACTAGAGGAGAACATTATTAATAACATAAATCGTTAATTTGCATATGTCAGTGAGTAAACAAGAAGAATATGCTTTTGCTTCTATATCGTGTTCCAAGGGAATCTGTAAGGGACCAGTATACCTGACTGACCAGAAAAATAGATATCTCAAAATGATAAAGCGTTTCGCTAAAAAACTTGACTTTGTTCGAAAGACTTGTATTCACGAACACATACAAATAACGGCTACCAGCTATCGGGTTGATTGCAGTTTGATGGCAAACTCATTTAAATATGAATAGTAACTGCAATGCTTCCAGTAAGCTACCACCTCTCGCTTCAAACCCGGTCGCTGACCTAAATATTTGGTTAATCTGCCTATTTACCATCATTCAACAATGACTCATGTTCTGTTGGCCATTTCGACCCAGTGGCTTTATTATAATCGATCCTTTCATTGACATAAAAGTCATGTGATCACTGATCACTGTTCGTCGACTGACAGGTTGTTTATAATTACCACTTCAAAATGACGAGTTAATTCTTGAAAATTTATGGGTTAATCTGTTAGCCGCATTTGCGAATACAAGCTAAGAAAGAAAACATTCAGTGCTGATATATAATAATAGATGGTGCGTTTTCAAACTAAACAGAGTGCTCCTACTAAAATGAATTTGCCTACATAGGCCTACCCCTGAGACTCTTATCTGATGGATAGAATGCACAAATAAGACAACAGGTTTGCTATTATAGGTAAAAATTCTCTTGAAATTTTGAAGTGGTTTTACCTGTTAATTCTGTCAGTGGTCCGCCATTTTTGCGGAAGTTACATCGAAACGCAAACTCCATGAAACGAAACGAAATCACTAGAAAAAACATGGGACACATTGTGCGCATGTGCAGCAAAGTTTTTCAAAGTTTAAACCAACCAGATTATTCGATTATTTTGCGCACATGAATTATTTACTTCTGAGCACTTACAAGCTTACCACAATAAACAAACCTGGCAGAGACAACTCTGAGCCTACTTCATTTTGGCGAAATTTCAGCTCAAACTCGTGACAAATGCATTATGCATACGCTAGTGTGAAGCCTTGGAGACACTCATTTTGGTAAAAATGATTTATGGTGTATAGTTTTCTGCAGTTTGTGAGAGTTTGGGACATTAAATGTTAAAATTCAAGAAAATATGCCAATTATACGACTTATCAATTAATATGTATCAGCACTATATGTAGTCCTAAGTTGTATGGGACTCAGAAATTTGAAATAATGAGTATGGGACTTGATTGTTTTACTGTCTCAGTCAAGAAATAGAGTACTTACACCCTGTTAACGCAAAAAGAAAAGGGTCACTGTAAGGAGACAATAAACACCGAGTTGTAAGAGAGCATAAACAGAAACCCTTTCTTCTTGATCAGTCATTTACTGAATCTAAATCGAGGTTGTGACATTAGTGACGTCACTTTTGAAGTGATACTAAAGCTTTAGCATTACATGATTATATATATGAACATCACATGATAACTTTCTCCGTGATATCTTTACACTGACCTCTAGATGCAATTCTGCCAATAAGATCAGGATACGCTGTCATATGATTTATTAAAGTCGCTACTTCACTGTGGTCGAGAAAAACTGCTGGAATTGTGACGTCAGATTCAGGAGGACAAGACTGACCTTTCATTATTAATGCATTTCTGCCTGGGCTATCTAACAATAAAATAAGAACAGTAAAAATAATTAGAAATATCAATGATTTCACCAACACAAAGCATTCAGATATCACTGCAATGCAACTGCAATGACATCAATCGGATTAAGCTCTTACAGTAGTATCGACGTATGGCTTATTCTAATGGCCTAGTCACATAGCCCGGTCGATGTCCGGCATCGGTAGAGCTCGGTGGATTTTTTTGGTGCCACCGAGCTCTCCTCATCGGAAGCAGAGCTCGGTGACGTGAACGGACTCCGTCTGGACATCTTCAGGCGACCGACCGAACACCGGCCGGTGACCGTACGGAGTCTGTCTCAAAATGGTAGTTTTTTTCTGCTGATGTGGCAGCAACTACCGGCCGGAGGTCGGCCTGACATCGGAAGGAATACGGCCGGTACCCGAGCAGGTAACAGGACACCGTGCGATCGCCGGCCGGGTTGTTAACGGGCTTTGAACAGTGACCGGCCGATGCTCTGTCCCACATCGGCCGCTGTCCGTTAAAAAAACTCGTCCTCTGGTTGTCTCAGATGCACGGGACACCGGCCGATACTCGGCCGTGCACCGGCCGACGTGTTTTCCGATGTGGTTACGATGGGGCTGCGATGACATGATGAGGGAGCTCGGTGAGAGCCTGGTGAAATTTAACTCCGAAGTTAAAATTTCACCGAGCTACCACCGATGCGGTTGTAAGCAACAAACGCCACGGATGTCCGGCCGGTGTCCGGCCGGTGTTCGGCCGATTTCGGTGAAAATTGCATCGCTGGCTCATCGTAACCTCATCGGCCGGGCTATGTGACTAGGCCATTATGTCCATCCGATATAAGAACAATAAATTAAATCTCAATCGTACTTTACGGTTATATGAACCTGGTGTACAAAGCAAACATTTCTCAAGATTGGATCAATGTTGATGGCTAATCGGGGTGAATTCAAGCTTGATATCAAACATGATTCATCATTAAGTAATCTCAATCCTGAATCAATCTTAAAATCAAGCGTATTCAACATTGATATTTTCAACCTTGAATCAAGCCTAAAAATCAACATTGAATCAAGGTTGAGATTTTCAAGCTTAGTTTAAGTTTACTAGGATATCAAGCATGATTCAATGTTGATTTTTTCAAGCTTGATCCAAGGCTGATTTTTTCAAGAATGATTCAACAAAAGTTGATTTAATCATTATTATGACGTCATGCACTCTATGACCCATACAGGGAGTTGAAAAGTAACACAATTCAAATTTTGAAATCTGTCTCGCTGCATCAGTCTTTTGTTCGAGACCTCAGACGACATTTTACCACGGTATCGTATATATCGTTCCGTATTAGTGGTTTTGTTTACATTATTACCACGCCCGGTGATCGTGAATATGGGACGGAGGGGGGGGGGAGCAGGCAATTTCTGCTAGGAAATTCAACAAATCTGGAAGATTTATTTTTTCAAGAAAAAGTTTACTATTGAATTGCTAAATGGATAGGCGCACGGTATGGTAGAATATGTTAGGTTTTCTGGGATTTTTTCTGAAACGATACGCATCTAAGGTATGAGATCTATTAAAAAAGGCGCAAGGCCATCAACAGGCACAAATCAACGTTTTTGCTATAAATCAAGCAACAATGGACTACACGACCTGTAATAAATACTTGTAAGTGATGTTATCATAACTAAATTAATGTCATTGCTGAATTTATAAAATAAGCTTCCATACGTAAAATAAAAAATAATCGAAAATAATTAAAATGGGACGGAGGGGGGGGGGGAGGGGACGGAGGGGGGGAGTAATAATTCTATAAAGTGAAACAACTTCACACGAATTCTTGTATTTGAAAAATGAACTCATTAACTTAGCAAGAAACTGGATGATATACCCCTGGAGACTGAAAAATGGGGACATTTGGAGTAAAAGGACTTAAAGTCGCGAAACATCTCTAATCATGTCTTATATACATATTGCTCCCCCCTCCGTCCCCTCCCCCCTCCGTCCCCTCCCCCCTCCGTCCCAAATTCATTATTTTCGATTATTTTTTATTTCACATATGGAAACTTATTTTATAAATTCAGCAATGACATTAATTTAGTTATGATAACATCACTTACAAGTATTTATTACAGGTCGTCCAGACCATTGTTGCTTGATTTATAGCAAAAACGTTGATTTGTGCCTGTTGATGGCCTTGCGCCCTTTTTAATAGATCTCACACCTTAGATGCGTATCGTTTCAGAAAAAATCCCAGAAAACCTGACATATTCTACCATACCGTGCGCCTATCCATTTAGCAATTCAATAGTAAACTTTTTCTTGAAAAAATAAATCTTCCAGATTTGTTGAATTTCCTAGCAGAAATTGCCTGCTCCCCCCTCCGTCCCATATTCACGATCACCGGGCGTGATTACAGAATAAATCATGGTACAACAGTTTATTTCTCTGGGGCATGGGACATCTACGAATGCAGTTACCTGGCATTACAATTACTTATCTGGGGTACGAGGATCTACGAATGCACTACCTGGCATTACGATTACTTCTCTTGGGCACAGGACATCTACGAATGCACTACCTGGCATAAATATTACTTCTCCCAGGTACGGGGCATCTACGAATGCACTACCTGGCATTACGATTACTTCTCTGGAGTATGGGACATCTACAATTGGGACACGAGACATCTATGAATATAATATCTGGCATCATAGCTCTCTCATTTAGTGTATCAGCTCACGGTAAGTATGAATGTGCGTCATCCTACATTTTACATTATCATCACATGTGGCAATTGTTTATATAAGGTTAATATTCTTAACGAGCAGCTTACAAGCGTTTTAAACACTCAGTTTATATAAATGAGAAACAGTTTATATTCAATATCCAATTTCCATGTCCAAAAAAGTTATGTATAGTAATCCATCTTCTTTAAAGATTACTGTCAACGGGCTAATGAGTGCAGCTGACCTAACTGCTGGTGCAAAATTGTCAGAATATCTAACTCCATCTTGATGAATTTTATTTTCATATGCCATTTTCGTAAAAAACATTCTTATTGAAGGTTATAGTTAGTGACTTTTGACTTCTTTATAACACAATATCAAGGGCATAACATCGTAACTTATATGCAATATCCATACCATTTTACACCCATTCCGTATAACCACGTTGCCCAGCATCGACTTTTTTAAAATGATAAACTCGTTTATTTAGATATAGAAATAACCAATTTGACATGCTCGCGCGATGGGTTCAAGGGGACTTAAGTATCAGTCGCTAGCAAGTGAAATCGGTTTCAATAGTTTTAGTTTTAAAAAGTTATGATAACTTTTGTCATATTTTTATGTTTTTGCGAATGTAAACAAAGGAGGTTGGGATCCCAAGGCTTTTTTATTATTCTATCGACAGAGATGTATTTGGTGTCTATAGAAAGTAGATTCAATTCCCTTGAGCATGTGCTATACAGTATTGCCGTGCGAACTTGCTGTGAAACATAATCTCAATTTCTGTAGAACAAGGTCCAAGTTTTTCATAAAATGATATGATTTATTATGTATATTAAATAAAACCACTTATACGGAACAATATAAACGATACCGTGTTACCCTATATCTTATTACGGCTGGTATCTAGGCCTAGTGCAACACACCACAGTGTTCGGAGAGACTAACCTAGTTCACTCTACTATACCCAACCCCTAGAAATGCATAAGATACTCTTTTTGTTTAATTGCATTGTTTAGTATATTTTTGAAAGAACCTTATTAACATCTAAATTTCAACCGATAAATATTAATAAGGAACAGACAAATTAAAACAAATTACATAATTATTACTAATGAGCCAAATGGGTTGCTCATGAACACCAAATGCAAAGTATAGTAGAGTGTAGTTTGCTATAAGAAACCTTACACGAGTTTTTGAGATAAAGGAGTGGTATCGATATGGACAACTGAATTCAACAATATTTTCTCTTAAACCAATCATTGAAAACATTCTGTCAAAAAACACGGTATTTTATGTAATGTTGACTGATTGACCACAGCTATTAAATGCGAAAATTATTTAGAAATATTTTATATACTAGTAACTGTTTTTGTTAACATTTTTTGTTTTTTAGTGCAATTGTTTTTGCTCCTTTCTACCAATTCTTGAGAATAAAATAAAATGTCTTTCCGAACCTTGTTGGAACAAAATAGCATATACAACATGTTTTTAGACCTCTCAATATTATAGTTATACAAAGGAACTTTTGGTTGATTTTAAAAAAGTATTCAAAAATTAAAACAAAATCCCCCAAAAATAGATAAAAATCAAGATAAACCTGTTATTTCATTAACAAGATACTTTTTTTAAATCAACCAAAATGTCCCGTGTACAATTACAATATTGAGAGACCTAAACATGTTGTGTTAATGTCCTTAGTTCCAATGAGGTTCGGAAAGATGAGATAACCCCCTCTATCGCACGACTTCACAGAAAATTCTGGTAAAATCACCAAGGTCATAATCACTCCGCCGCCAACTTAAACTGAGATTTCTTCATCGACTTTGACATGTTTTCAGATAAATTAGGTCCTACCCTATAAAAAGTGAGCCCCGGTTCACTAACCAAACGCCAGATGGCGCTCTGACACAGTAGGGAAGGAGAAAAATGACTTTTTTTATACAGAAAACAAAATCACTAACGGAAACCGCTAGTTTCCTTTCACAGGACTATATTCTTTGCAGTTTTATCTTGTAAGTATGAATAAGATTAGTTTATCAATTTACTTAAGAAACTGGTTTTTACTTGTTTAACAAACTGGTTTTTAACGAACTGGTTTGTAATGAATAATAGGAACATGTGTCAAGTGAGAAGACAGTTCTAACTCGTGTGATTTTCACAAAAAAAAACTCTCAGTTTTGACTTTTGCATGTTTGTCAATCTCAATGAACTGATTTGGAACTGTTTGAATGATGACATTTCACAGTCAAGATGCCAAAACATGAGAAATTCAGAATGAGGTAGAGTG